ATGCTGATAATGGGGAAGACATATTGTGTGCGCAATAAAGAGAACATACAGAACATACATAGAACATACATAGAACATACATGGAACATACATAGAACATACATGGAACATACATGGAACATACATGGAACATACATAGAACATACATGGAACATACATAGAACACACAGAGCAGATACACGATGCTGGTAACTTAGTCCAGGACTCCCATAATAAACGTTACACCTTCCTGTCTGTGTTGTATTTGGACATTTGTTGTCATATTTACAAATATAATAAAATAATAACAAAAGTAGAGAAAACATGAATACAATGTCCCATCCCCCGCTGACGCCATCCCCCCTGATACTGCGTCCTGCTCCTCTTCAGGCCATTGTCCTACCAACCATCAACCTGCCATTGTCCTACCATTGTCCTACCATCAACCTGCCATTGTCCTACCATCAACCTGCCATTGTCCTACCATTGTCCTACCATTGTCCTACCATTGTCCTACCATCAACCTACCATTGTCCTTCATGGTGACTTGGTAATGGCCATGTTGGCTCTTCGGTCTGCGTTACATTGTTGCCCCCCGGTGTGATGTTCTTTGCCAGTGTTATTATGCTGTCAGCGCGATGTCAGGAACACCTCCTGGATGAGCCGGCTTTACTTTCTGTCTCCAACAGGATTTTAATCTTTTCTCGGCTTTTATGATGAAGGGGCCCCAGATACACAGAGGTGTCATCACCCCCCCTCCCCCCCTATGAAGACACAAAGACCTGCTAATCCCCGGGGGAGGTTTTCACGGACTCACAAATGGTGGAAGTGACGTCACGATTCTGGTTATAGAAACATTCTGCTGCACGGTGTGCGGTGATCACAAAGCAAATAACAGCCAGCTCAGCGTCAGGCAAGTCTCATATAATAGTACACAAGGGCCACGCTCGGATCTCTAGTACACAAGGGCCACGCTCAGATCTCTAGTACACAAGGGCCACGCTCAGATCTCTAGTACACAAGGGCCACGCTCGGATCTCTAGTACACAAGGGCCACGCTCGGATCTCTAGTACACAAGGGCCACGCTCAGATCTCTAGTACACAAGGGCCACGCTCAGATCTCTAGTACACAAGGGCCACGCTCAGATCTCTACTACACAAGGGCCACGCTCGGATCTCTAGTACACAAGGGCCACGCTCGGATCTCTAGTACACAAGGGCCACGCTCAGATCTCTAGTACACAAGGGCCACGCTCAGATCTCTAGTACACAAGGGCCACGCTCAGAT